GATGTTAGAAAGAAAATGGAAATGTGTTTGTGAGGCATCAGACAGACAAAGACCCCCCACAGTATATGGGGGGAAAAAAGGGAAAAAGTCAAACAAAGAATGAACGAGGCTGCACAGCCACAACGCAAAGAAAAGAAAGAGGGGGCTGAGGAGAAAAACAAGCAGAGAGAGAACAGGCAAAATAGAGGGAGGCGGGGCGGAGAAGGGCAGAGGCGAGCAGGGACCTAAAAAGGGTGATGGAGTGCGGAGGTGGACTAAGAAGAGGGAGGGTGGAAGACGAAAGAATCAAGAGAGAGCTGTGAGAGGAAGTGGAGAGGGACACAATGTGGGGGTGGCTGCAGACTGGCAGGAGAAGAAATGGAGGGGCAGGGTGAAAAAGAGTGAGGGAAGGGGGAGAGGTAGGGCGAGCAGGAGCTCGACGCACGTCACGTGAGCGACAGCAGTTACTGGACTCGGCCTTCCAGCCCGCCGTTGAACCTCGAACCACCTCGCTGTCCTGCTGCCTCTGCACTCGGCACCATCCAACTGTCATCTGCAGCCCCCACCCCGAAATCTGTGCTGCTTCTTGATTTGGCACGATGGGCCCTTCTTATGCTCCGGCTGTCTTTTTTACATCACTCACACCCCCTCCCCCCCTCCCCCCCGCAGTTCAGCACAAATGCGCTGTCACAAAAATGACGGGTGACCAAGAGCGACAGCAGCGACAAGGAGCGCTTTGGCTCATAATCGCAGCAAAATGTTAAACTGAGCAGGAGACAAACACTTGCAAGTGACATTTAAGTGCATGTATCTGTCTCGTCATAAAAGTGTAGGTGAAAGTGATGAGGGCAGGGAACAAAGGCTTATCAACGGAGCTCAATTTATCAATGTTGTTGATTTGATACCTTGAGTAGGATTTTTCTTTTGCTCTTGATCTTTTAAAAGGCAAGTTTTCAATCAACATCTCATACTTCCCTCTTCTTATTTTACCCCTCGCTCCCATCTAACCATCTAATAAATTAGGCATCTTGGTCTAGCATGGTGGTGTGATGAAATAAAAGGTCAATGTTTTTACTGGTGTCACATACTGTTAATTCAGTTTTAAGTAATACATCACTCCATACTCGCTGTGATTCTGTGTGATGGTCAAAGTAAAGGTCAACTGAAGACCAAATTTACAGGCTAACGTAAGCAGTACGAGATGAAGAACATTAGCCTCAGGGATGACCAACAGACCAAAATGACCCACTACGACAACACCAAGACTTCAGATGAAGTAAGTGGGTCCCTGCACTGTTCTGGACTAGCACAGTGTCTGTATATAATTTACAGGTGTCCTCTAAAAGCATTGCATGGATGCAATCATCGAATTAACATTTTGAAAACAGGAGGGTACAATAGGTACAATTTTTTTGCACAGTTTTCTGAATGTATTCTATAACCAGGGCAGATAAATAACACTTCTGGGTCATTTTGACCCAGTATTTTGAGTTAGTTAATTAGTTAGTCTTTAAATTATGTTATTTCCTGGCGGCTACCTGTTTAGGGATAAAATGTTTTTGCTCTGATAAAGTTGTATGGCACTGTCTTGAAACACTATTATTGCTAATTGGTGTGTGGGTTTATGATTCAGGATTTTCAGCCTCATACTGCAGAACAAAATAAAATAAATGGCCTGTATTTATATAGCGCTTTACTAGTCCCTAAGGACCCCAAAGTGCTTTACATATCCAGTCATCCACCCATTCACACACACATTCACACACTGAATGTGTGTGTGAAAAATAAGACTGATAATAAGACTGATAATTGTCTGTGGCTGTGACTCTAATTTATCGTGTGCAGTTGTACTTTGACACATGATGATGTGAGAACGGCCATGGGTTTGAGATTAATCTGTTTTATTGTCCATCAGGGTCCAGAACAGTTCCTGGAAGAACACTGTACCACGATGGGCTCCACCAGTGCAAAGAGTTCTGTGAACTTTGCAGGACTCTGCTCTTTCCACACTCCAGCATTATTAATCAAAGTGTTTTAAATCTGTTTATTATTAATGCTGGCACTGTGTTCCTAAGTTTGCTCTCTAGACAAGTGTATTGCCTCCCCAGAAAAAAGAAACGGGTTCAAATAAATGATGAATGGCTGCCATTGCAAATGACATTAAAGAAACTCATGCCCATACCTATCAGTCTGATCTTCCATCCTCACTGCACGTGTGCAAGCTGCTAAACTGACATCAACTAACAGTCCACCAGTGCAGCTTTCACGTCGCACAGACCAGAAAAATTAAAAGATTAAAGTAAAAAAGAATGAAAAAAGCAGTCTCAGTGCTTTCCTAATGAAGGAATATGAAAGAATAAATAAAGTGTGAATTGTATTAAGGTGGAAACATAGGATGTAATGGTTCGCTGGTGGTTGTGATATTCATGTCTGTGGTAAAGGTGTCCTTGCAGAGCATGACTATTTGGGTTTCCACCCACACTGTGTCTGCAAATTCAGCCCTGTTTAATATTAGGCTTCTGCCTTCACATCCCCAGAGACTAACATGCACTCACATTGCATGTGCGCACACATACTGGTGCACAAACACAAACAGTATTAGAAAGGTTACATCTTTGTGTTTTCTTATGTGTGACTTTGTTTCTCAGCTCTTTTGTTTGCAGTTACATCCTTTACAATTACTTCTGGGGCTGGGCGCTACATTTAGACATGTGGAGAGTGAACTGAGGTGAGGACCAAACCGCTCCGTGGGCTGACTAGTCACAATCTGAAATTCAACTGGAAAAATCATGAACGCTGGACTCTCCAACGTAAATCGTTTTTAGCATAAAAAGCCAGCACCTGTTATGGCTTCACTCTAACAGCATGCACATCTAGAGGCACCATTAATGTTAAAACTTGGGCTGCTCCATTTAGGAGTTGCAACAGCGGATCATCTGCTTCTGTCTCACCATACCCCTAGCATCCTCCATCGCTACAGCCATGAATCTTCTCTGTACCACATATCAAGCTAGCGCTGCTGGCTGACTTCTGGCGTGATAAGACGTATGTCATCCAGATATGGGCCAGGCCTGGCGTAGATGGCACTATCTATGTGATGCCATGCCATATCTGGCTCGATTGTGGTTTGGTGTATGTGGCCCAGGCTCATAGAAAATAGGTCTTCCCTGGATTTGGCATCAAGCTGGCACTTCTGACTGACCGGTGTCATGTCAACCAGATGTGGGCCAGGTCTGGCAATGATGCCACTATTTATGTTCCTATTTTCCTATTTTAGTTAGAAGACCCAAATGCCATGTTGCAATACTATACTGCTATGGTAGCCAACGTTTCAAATGCAGGTTTGACAGGTTTGTGAGTGTACACTTTATCCAAAACCTAGTGACGGTTTACTGGGTGCTGTAGCTCAGGAGGTAGAGCGGGTCACCTACTGATCGGAAAGTTAGTGGTTCGATCCCTCGCTCCTCTAGTCTGCATGTCGAGAGTGTGAAAGTGTATGATTGTAGTTAGGAAGCACTCAGTTTAGAGAAATTTGGTGAATGTGGCATGTTA